ACTAAAAGATCAATGTTGAAATCAAACAATGATATAAGTCATCAGTCCCTATAAAAAAACATTTGAAATCACATTCAAAATTTACTCAGTTTATTTTTTTAAGAGATGATCATTTTCCGTAACAAAAATCCTTTAAAATATTCAGAAAATTTTAAAGGTTTGCATAGATTTTTGATATGGAAAATGCTCATCTCTTAAAAAAAAAAAATCTGAATAAAGTCTGTGTATGATTTTAAAAAATTTTTTATATGGAGTATAACCATAAAAATTAATCTTTTAATACAAATAAATGGACTACTTATTGATTATCAAGAGTGAAAAGCAAAACATTTGTCGAATTCGATGATTCTTCTCACTATCAGAGTGACGCATTTTCACATAACATTCAATATCAGATACAATGCAAGGTCTCCTCCCAGTACTCCTAAAACCTGGTCTAATATTGCATATCCCTAGATGTGACGAACATTCAATCTAATCCTCAAAGTGTTGCAACTTATGAAGACTACGAAATAGAAGATAAATGTTATGATGATGGCGGTGACAATGATAATGAACCTGTTAATAAGGTTGAGGAAAATCCTGATGAAGAGCAGGGCGAAGACCAAGAAAAGCTTGGTGAATTAAGTCATTATCTTCAGATCCTAAAATTCGACGCAAAGTATGTCATTTATAATCTTCACATTTTGTTTTAATACTTATAAGAAATTATTATTACGATTTGCCAAATTCTGGATCCCATTTATTGATCATCATCTAACAATCGCATATTAATAACAATTACATATTAATATGCGATTGTTAGATGATGATCAATAAATGCAGTGTTGTCAAATGTTGCATATTGGTAATTGTTACATCATTTTATTATATAATTTATTCGACGTAATCAATAATATATTAAATAGATGCGATAATTACCAAAATGCAAGATATTTGACAACACTAAATAAATGGGATCCAGAACTTAACAAATCACAATAAATACTTTCTATGCTGTTTTAAAGTTTCTTGACCTCAAAATTTCTAATAAATCACTCTTTTCAATAAATGCTACACTCACTGCCACTGTTGAAGACCAATCTATTAAAATAGCCAGTCTTACTTCATTTGAATCGATCATTGCTTCGCAACAGCAGCAACTTGATCATATTATTAAGATTGAAGAATTACTGCATGTTATATCTAATAAAATTTCTGAACAAGAAACGGATATTAAATCGCTTAAATCTCAGATAGGAGAAGCTTCGTAAGTATTTGTGAATTTGTTTGACACATACCCATATATATATATATATATACAGTAATATTTGACTTTATATTTGTCTAAAACTTTAATGAATGTAAATAGCAAGGAAAAACAAAAGGTGAGTGGGATAATCTTGAATACCGAATCCAATTTCGATTCAAGTTTTTTTCTGGCAAAAGTTATTTTGTTTTCTTTATTACTATTCAGAACAATATTTACGTATCTATATTTTGGCAATATGAATTTATTCTACAACCCAAAACTACTCCCTCTAAACTCGCTTCCTCGTATCATTTTTGATAGAGGTAACTATTTACTGTTTTACTCTATTGTAAAGAACTTAGTTAATAACTTAATTTATGAATGTCTTTATTGTACAGTAGCTTACGATGATGTTACAGTCATTTTTACTGTGATAACATCACTACTTTATACCATTTACATTTTTTCCAGTGATTATATTAGCTAAACTAGCTAAGCGGCTAGCTAAAAGGTCTAGAGCAAAAATTCAAGAAATAACAGGATGAATATATATATATATGCGATATATTTTATGATTTATTTTGATTGAACTTTTATAAGATTTAGGCTTTTTTTTCTTTTTGTTCTAAACTTATTAGCTATATCACCCTTTACATATTACAACTACATACTATTTCCTACTACTACATTAATTACCAAGTTGTTTAAAATCACAGTCTATCACCTATTTGACAATCTATACCAGGAATGTAGTGAAATGAATACTAGAAACGTAGTATGAAGTATATGGTTTACAGACAAGTTGCTGTGTTCAAAATCTCGAATTCTATTGGATAGCGTGATCATTGTATATGCATCCTTTTTAGTTATGGTCATTATTAGTTTTTCTAGACTGATTGTTAGATATACATATATATGTACCTAAAATACAATTTTGATTTCAATGATTTAAACTTCCTTTAACTCCAGCATATGCTTTTACTGACTATAAATGCCAAGGTCGAACTTGGATAAAGCAGTGATTGACCTAATCAAACACTAATACTTATAATAGCACATATATTATGCTTTCTAGAATACACAAATTAAATGATTTATTATTTTATGCCCTTTGATGAATCTTTATTGAATATAAATTTCCACCTGCGCTTAATGCAGAAATCATACGTCTAAAAGAATGTGAAAAACAAACAACAAAGCCAGATAAATGGCCGGACGAATACTATGATTAAAAACAATACCAATTAACAAACTTTATATTTAATATAGATCTAAACTCTAGGATAATAAACCGTCAAAACACTTTTTTTAAATAAATAAACTTATGCTATACAATTTAAAGTTGATTAATTATTTACTATTCAAAATTAATTACTTAATATCTTTATTTTAAGCTCAGTCACAAGATAAAAAAAAAATATTAAACATATATGCTCAAATACCTCATTCAATTTTAATTACATGAAACACATAATATAGTAAACTGGTATGAGCATAAATTTTGATCTTTGATCGCTCATCATAATAAAAAAAATTTGTTATCATTAAAACATCTTTTCATAAATTATCGAACATATGTTCCTGGTTTCGCATGACAGCATTGTGCAGCTACCTTATTAGTCTATTGGTTGACTTGTAACTATATATGTATTTGTTAGTATTACATTATTATGTGTTGTACTTAATAAAATGAAATGAAGCTCTACTCAGTATTAAAAAGCCTCCATCGTAAGGCCATATAGATTTAATATCTTGAGTTTTATGTCATGAAACTTTAAATGAACATGGCCAACTGACTTTTTTTTAAAAAAATTTCATATAAGATTTTTTTTTAAAAGTCTATCTGGCAATTAATCATTTAATTTGCATTTATTGCAGCAAGGACTCATTTAGCTTAACGTTGACGTTAAATGTTTGAAATGCAAATTTTCCAAAGCGTATAATTTTACAAAAAAACCATAGAATTATTTGAAAAATACCGGTAAATTACCTGAAACTAAAGGATATTCCCGGATAACTTAATGGGTATTTTCAGATAATTCAATGGGATTTTGTATTTCTTGAAATTTTGTCAGATGGGTTTCTTATGATGTAATTGATCTAAATTTTGTACCTTAATTTTAAATTAGGCCCAATCCTGCTCAATCCGGGCCCAATCCAGATTTTTGGAGCTAAAACCAATCTGACGGTTGGGATTAGATTACAATCTGAATCCGATCTGATTTACATTTTTGGAACACTAGTGATTTATAAGTATATTTTGTAGTTCTTGTAGCTGAGTGTTGGTAATATTTAGATTTGGATGGTGAAGGAATTGTTGTATAGTATTAATAATAAATATATTTATTGTAGATATATCTAAGCAAATAAGCTAATATTTTTGGCTTTCTTAAGCTACACATATTATGTAGTTATTATTTGGAATTATTAATAGATATAATATATATTGATATATTAAAGTAGAGAGTATATCTAGTATAAGCTTGATTTTAAATATTTTTTGTTAACATAGTTTAAAGTTGGTATAAGTAGTTATAATATAGTAATACAAACTTCAGCATAACCAACAAAAATTTTGAGCACATAATGATCAACAAGAAATTAACCAATAGCTAATTGCTATTTGGTGTAATATAGTATAATAAGGAAAAGTCAAAGCAAATGTTCATTTTGTCAAAGATCACTTATAACTTAAAAATCTGCATAAAAAATTATCTTTAGTATTCTAATAAAAAGATTTTCTTAGATGATTTTACTACTATACTCTGATAGCACCTAATGCTAAAGTAAAGCTAATCCTAATATATATATATTTCAACATTATATACCTGAGAGGCTATGCTAAAGAAATCATTCATTCTTCTATAGTAAATAGTATTGTTGTCATGAATAGTTGTCATAGGACAGTTGTGAACAATAAGTTTAGACATTTTGAACAATTTTGGACAATTAAATAAATTAAAAATACTCAAAATTTTATTAAGATAATCTATATTATTTTCTAAGTAAAATATATTTAACACCTAAAAAAATATATAATTATATATTTTTTAAACAAGTTTATTAATTATTAAAGCTTAGATATGCTCTGGACATTTGTGAATACTTGAATACTTGAACATTGGATAGTACTAAAAAAGCCTTTGGACAGTCAAAATATATATTACTGATAAATAGTATTCACTGAATTAAGTGATAGATTACCTCATATAATTGGTTTGACTATTCAAAAAACTTAGTAATAGTGTTAATGTTTTAAAAAAAAGAGACCAACCTAATAGATACTTACTCAAAAACTAGCTCAACTCGCCAAATAAATAGCCTTTTGTGATTAAATCTATCATAGATTTCATACTGTTATAATCTACTGTTAGTATATATTATTAATGCAGTAGAATTATCTCAATGATAGTCATCACAGTGCTATAACTTGCAATAACTTAGTAAGTTATAGTATTATAGTAATGTGACAACTATCATTGAGACGATTCTACTACATTACTAGAACATACATACAAAATTTTTTGTTGTATACAATAAAAGCTTTAACTATATAAATGAATCTGCCAGACTCTTAATTGCAAAATCATACAACTTCTTGCTCACTTACTATTAAATATTATAGCCAATTCTAACTTTTTATAGCCTTATACTATTCAGTATGATCTACAACTACTAGAGTTAATTCTTAAGAAATATCCCAAATATATTACTTTTAAACAACAACTCAAAAAGTATAAAATTCTTTATTTTGAACAACTCTGCACAGTAAACAATATAAATCTACTAAATTGGACACATCTATCTCCTAAACTTAAACACATCCCCAAAGATAAACTATCTTTGTAGTTTAGTATATTAGAAGCCTTAGTATTTAAAGATAAATATAATTATATACTACTTAACCAGTACCAATAAACAGAAATTAATGTTTTTGCTATTAGTTCTTACTCTATTTCTAAAAAATCTAAGCTCTAGATAATTACTATTAATAACAAGAGAATTATTCTTAAGAAAATCTGTAAATAGTATCCAGATATTAAAGAAGTTTCTATTATACATTAGTAAACAAATTTTGATCTCAATATCACTAATTGCTACTCACTTTCACTAATTAATTGTTTACACTGTTTAGGATATCATCTCAATTCTAATAAATTAGATTCAGCTTGTATCTTAAAAATATCTACTATTACATCTGCCAAATTCTTTAAAAGAACATTTAACAATTAATTTAAATTTAATGCTAATTATATAGACCTTATTTTCTACAGCTATTAAATATCTATTATCAAACCTGCCTTTACTAACACCACCTACTATTCCAATAATAGACTTAATTATAACTTTAATTTTTCAATTTAGAGAAATAAGAAACAAATTTGAGAAAATATCAATTAATAATTTTAACTCTAATCTATTTAATTTCTATACCAATGAATTTGTTATTAATATTGGTACTGACTAATGATCTATAAAAATTGGCTAGGTTCAAGTTAATAATAATAATCAAATAACCTGTCACTTTAATGCTCAAATTAAACTCTGGTCATCTTTCTATAAGGCAGAACTTTTTGCTATTTTATTAGCTATTTTTACTACAACCCATCACAACTCCATAATTAATCTTTATACAGACTCTCAATCTGTTATTTCTAAATATTACAAACTTATATCATCTACCTTCAATTCAAAATTTAATGCCTAGCCATTATGGTATACACTTCTTAATATCATAAAATCTTATTTATTATATATAACTTTTCATAAAATTCAAGTCTATACAGACAATATTTTTAACAATTTAGCAGACTCTCTTGCTAAACAACATATTGTCACTCTATATCTTGAATTTAATTATGCTAATATTTATAATCTATATCACATATTATAATATGAAGAAGAAAAATTCTTTGTTAAACAATTAACTCGACCTTTTATTAAAACTATATATAAAGTCTATATTCTAGCAATGTAGTCATTCTAGTAACGTAATAAACAATAGTCTTAAGCAAATGACAGAATTAATTAGCGATCTACTTGATTATACTTTAATTATAACTACAAGCCTATCTATAATATTACAAACTTCAAACTTAATTAACTTAAATCATTTAAAATCAAAACTCTACTAAATGAATTATCTACTCACTTACTTCACCATACTTTTTATCTTACTATCTTTTAAAATACTAATTGTTTCTATTGTGAAGCATGAGATTCTTTTTTATATTGGCTTAAATGTTCTAATCTAACACTACTTTAATATATAATTAATATTGGTATTAATAATTATATCAACTCTACTGAACTAAATTTGTTAGCAGATCAGAAGGCTAAACTTATCTACCAACTACAACATCATGAGGCATTTAATACTATAGCAATACAGCCTTTATTACATTATTTAGAACTTACAATTAAAGGTTTAAGTCTTGACTCAATAGTGCAAATAGTCCAAAATTTCTATATACTCTATAAACAAGCATTCTATATCATCATTGAATTATTATTAAAAGTTAATAAACAAATATATGAACAACTTTAGAAACTCTACTGCATCAATTTCTCTAAATAGAAAAAACAACAACAAATAACATATTTTTACTCCAAACCAAAAGATTCATAATCAACTGCTAATAGAGAAAAATACTTTTGAATTAACTATACATAGTTTTGCTAATGTAGAATAGCAAACTAATTACATTCTAACTCAGGTACTTGTTTTCCTGTAAGCTAAACTAAAGAAAAAATCAATATTTGGTATAAATACTGGATTAAATATAGTACAATTTTAAACTTTATTTTAACTTTAAAAATCTAGATAAGTCTTTAACCACTTTAGTGAGTTTAGATCACAGTTAAATATATCTGAGCTTCTATTCTTATATATAAATTTTATTTTTATTTATACTTATACAAGTAGTAGTATCTCTATATTTAATGTAGTTACTATTTTTAAAATTACTAATAAAGATATAAGCAAGGCCTCACCTTAATATTAAAAAAAAAATAAATGAACCTGCAAAACAAAAAAAGAAATACAGATATAATGCAAATTTTTCTGTTGCTTATGATCATAATTATACTAATTAGCCCAATGAAACAAAAAATTATAAGTATAAGAAATAAATATCTATACTATCTTAGTGCACTAATAAAAATTATTAGAATCAATTTTACTTATAGGACATTATAATACTAACTCATACAAGCCCTAAACTTTATAATGTTTGGTTTAATCTTGTAATGCAACTGGCTTTAAACATTCATTATTTTTATCTACTGTTAATGATCTACAAACATACACATATTAAAAACAACTTTGCAACTATCTAATACCTAGAGATAAGGAAGTTCGAATTGTTTGAATAGGTTTAATATATGCAGTTACTAAACCAATCCAAACTATTTCAAACTTCTCTACTAATAACTATACTAAACCCTAACTACTAAATCTCCAATACACTAATAACAACTCTTACTATATAGCAACAACAAATCTTAATCTAAATTTAATTATACATTAATAAAAAATCAAAGACAATAATATCACCATCAGAGCAATCAAAAAACTGTTCTATAAAGATAATGAATGAAACTTAGTATAGCATATCACTAACAAGACATCAATGAAATAATATAATGCACTAGTAATATACCAATAAAATGTCTGTAGATCTTCTACAAAAAATTAATTCTTTCAATATGACTTAATTTTAACTCTAAAAATTTCATTAAACCTGATCTTTCAATCTAATTAATTTTTTGTAAAAGAGCTACCATACTTTACCAATAATAATAACATATAAAATTGGTTTAATTTATTTTATTAACAGTACAATTCACTAACAAACTAATTCTGATCATGTCCAACCCACTTTATCAAATCAGTTTTATCACAAAATCGTGACATCCAAAATCTTAATAGGCCATAATACTGGCATCACCTGATGTAACAATTAAAAATTTAAAGTCTAACAATGATTGTTAATGTAATTACTAATTGTTAAATACTAATTATCACGTCAGGATTATAGTTTTCAAGATTTTGGATGTCGGAATTTTGTGATAAAACCTATCAAATTTAGCCACCTCATTTAACTAAGCCAAATATTGGTTTCATGATTATATAGACTCTTATACTTTTTTAAGACAATATTACAGACACCAATACTGTCATACTAATATACAATAATGAGAATATCAACAAATTATGATAACATAAGAACTAGAGAAAAACACTAAAAAAAAAGAGAAAGCAAAGCTAAAAAAAAGTTCTAGTTAGTAACAATACTAAAAGAATACTAATATAAACAACAAAAAAAAGTATACTTATCTATTTTTTATCTATAATTCAGCAACGATGTTAATGATGAAATAACAATTACTCCTGTAATGACAATATGCTAAGAACAATAATTTAACACCAATAATAAGATTATTTATAGTCTAAAAAAAATTTTTAGTACAATAAACAGATCAAAATATCCTGTAATCAGAGTAGCACAGTAATGCAAGGTGAAATAATTTTTTTTATTATATATATTATTATAAAAAGGTAGCACTATAGTACTATAGCACTAAAATACTATAGCACTATAACAATATTCCTATATTAAATATATAAACTATAATAACTAATAACTTTTAATTTACTAAATCAAATTAAATAATTTAACTACCAAAATAATTCTCTCAGTGAGAAAATTCTAACAAGCCCAAAATCATTAAAATTCAATTATTAGATCTTAGAATTGATATAAATTTGTATATTTTTATATAATATTTATTAAAAACTTATTAGGTATTGCATGTTTTGATGTGCTTATACATTGCATTTTAATAATTGACCAATTAAATTTGAAGATTAGGTATAATGTGCAACTTAATTTTGTATAACAAAAATAAAAAAATTTTTAAAACTTAATAATAGCTCTAAATTTTGTTTATAAAACTATCTTCCAAGCTCTAACAAAAAAATTTTTTCAAATTTTATATATACTAAGCTCTACTTAACTGCTAACTCTAACCTTGACTCTAATCTTAATTCTAATCTAATATTGATTTTTTTTTTATTTATACAGATCTACAAATTATATTTATATAAATATAATGAATTAGCATATTACAAAGTACTATACATAAGTTATAATTATTCTTTATTAAATAAATAAACAAAAGTTGCAAAGCTTATCAAAGAATATCTAACAGTAGTAAGATCATCAAAAATGGTTTAGTAGTTGCCAAGATATCACTAAAAAATAATTATCTAACTATATTAAATTCTATATTGTTTATATAAAATTTTATATAGTTAATAATTATTTTTTAGCAATATTTTAACAACTATTAGATTGTTTTTGATGCTTTTACTACTATTAGATATACTCTGATAAGCTTTATAATTTTTAGTTAATTAAGAAGAGTAATTAATTTAGTAAAAAAAAGGGTTTCTTAGATAAACACTATATTTAAATTATTAATTAATATAAAATTGTATACTAAACAACTTTACTTAGACAACTAAAAGTAGTTTATTTATAAAATTTTGAAAAAAAATAATTGTTTTTAAAAAAACTTAATATAAGTAATCATTAAAAAGATTTAATTTTAAAGTCAATTTTACAAATTTTATATGTTTTACATATAAATATTAGATTATAAACTTATAATTTAAAAAAAATCAATTCAATAAAATTCATATAAAATACAAATATTTTTTTTCCTTAGGCAATCCTGTATATTTTATTATGGAAACAGACTTTTATCCTTATATAAGAAGAAATCTAAATCTATAGTTTTCCTACCAAAAGATAAACTCATTTATGACTTTGTCTTGTAGATGCTGTAATATCTACTTGCAGTTAAAACAAACTATTAAACTGCTGTACTATACCCAGATGTGATCTGTTTAGTAAACAATTGGCCTCCTTCAGAGATTTAAAACTTACTTTAGACTTAGTTTTCAACTAGCTGTTGCACTGCCCCATCAAGATTTCTGCCTACAATAAAATGCTACCAATCTGATAATATTTTCTTGTAGGGAAGGAAAAAAAAAAAAATAATAATGGAAAATGAAAAAAGAGGTATAAAATAAAACTAATACATCTAAGAAAATAGATACTAATATTAAGAAATATAAAAAACTAAACTAAAATCTAAAAGAAACTATCACTAGAAAGAAGAAAATCTGCTGATTAGGCAAAAACTTCTAACTATACAAATTAATAAACTACTATTAAGTACAAAAGTCTTGACTGCATTATAACTCATGCCAAAGTTTAAAAATTATATACTAGACATTAGATAAATTAGTCTCTACTTCTTCATTTATAAGAAAAACCTAATAGAAAAAACTTCATTGATCAGTTTAATTGTAAAGAGGTCAGAGCTGAGTCTTAGAGCATTATTTGTACAGATATCTATTGCATTCAAGGTATATGTATATACATGTTGTTATGTTTCAATTTGGAAGATAAATAATACTGACTTGTTTGATATACATAATATCAATCATTTGGAAGGGGTAAGCTGAAACATCCACTTTTTATAAAAATTTCTTTGAAAAAAAGTGGTGGACTAATGAAAATATATAAAGTTCTTCTTGTAAGTTTTATAGTTGTATAATTTAGCTTCTCAGTTTCTACCAACTTAAAATGCATATTGGCTACTTTTACAAACTTGTTTTCAGAATAAACCTTCTGGTTTGAATGCCAAATATCTTAAAGAGTTCATCAAAGAAGAAAAATTTGACTTCAAAGAAAACCATCTGTTCTTTTGATGCCGACTCCTCAGTGTATTTACAAATTACTGTATATTATATACAGAATTTTACAATACAAATATTGAATTTACAAATTATATTAAAAAAGTTTTTTTAATAAAAAAATATTAAGCATAAAATATTAGTTATATGATGAAAAATAATAGGACATTTTTTTATTAGTTTATATACTCCATGTGCTGTATAGCAGCACATACTGTAAGTAATATAAGCTCTGATAACCTGATGTTATTGTTTATATTATACTGTATTAGTATGTAAAATTGTTTTTTTGATGTCATTTTATAACAAAAATATCAAGTCAAAAGATAATATCACATGAACAATAACTTTTATAATTCAGTCAGGAGTTTTTCAAAATTGTGTAACGCAGATCATTTCGATTTATGGTAAAAGATCTGCAATTAGAATATTCTTTTTCTAATTCTGTAGTACAAATTTTGGCCAAATTTTTACTTCGCTGTTGCACTTTTGTTATTTATTGCATAACCGCCTTATAAAGCCTTTGGGATCCCTACGGATCCCTAAACTACAGTCTTAAAAAGCATTTTCTAAAAAAATTTCAAAGATTTTTTTAAAACTGGTAGTTATTTTCAGATAATAAAAAATGCTTTTGTTTTTTAAATTGAAATCGATTTTAGAATACCCTTCTAATATATTTGCAGATCATTTCCATATCGCGGAATACTCCTGACTGTAATTATGATGTTAAAATCACGTGATCACATGCGTAAACACCTAGCATTACTATCGCTGTTGGTGTGGAAGGGGTTTTTTTTTTGATTTTATATATATTACATGTAATTCCACTAGGGTAATTAAAATATAATCATACCCAAACCCCAACCCTAACAGTAAAATTTTTTAGTTGGTGATTCTAGGGTTCCCCGTGATTTTCAGCTTCATTCGCGACATTATATAAATTTCAATTTTTTTAAAAAACTATCGGGCGTTACTTTTACCGCCTACTAAACATACACCCCATGTACAAAATAATAGAAATTCTCTTTAAAAAAATAAACATAATTTGATGAAAAGTAACTTGGTGCATCATACTTATTTTATTTTATTTTTTTTTGGTGCTATATGAAGACTAAAACAACTCCGAAGTGTATTTTTTTTACATCGTTTTATAGTAAAAATCTTAATAGTTTATCAAAAAAGGACCCTAAAATTCAAGTTCGTAAATATCTAATTATAACTGGTATTTAAAGAACTATTTCAATTCGTGAATAGTTTAAGAAATTAATTAGTTGGTGTGCTATTTTAGTTGATGTATAAAAATATTTTTAATATTCTATGAATTTGTTCTTTATTTTTGCTTAAAATTTATAGATATAGTAAATAAAATAAATAAAAAACAATTGCAAAAGTTATAATATTTCATTCGGCAATCAGGATTTGAAGTCACATGTGAGTCGGTAAAATAATGTAAAATAATCCGACTACCATTTTTCTGGATGACGTTAGGGGTGTTAAATTATAATAACAGAAGACAACTTCTATAAGTGAATAATTTAATAAAACAAAATTTCGCGAAATCCAATTAACCTTTTAAATAATAAAAAAAATTTTTTACTGCGCGACTCCAACTTCACAATCGTTTTTCTGCTTAACACTTTCACCATTTTTTACATCCTTTTTGTCTTTCTCATCATCATCATTATCATACCCATTTTCTTCGCTTTCGAAAGTTTTCTCGATAGCTCCATTCTCTTCTTCACCATAATTCCCTTCCTCATAATAATCATCATCGTCGTCATCATAAACAACAGATTTAGCATTTGTTATAAAATCTTTAATCTTATCTAAATCCTTTTCGCCATCTGTCTCAACTCCACTAGAAACATCAACAGCCCACGGTTTAACTTTTTCAATAGCTTCAATTACGTTCGATGGCGTCAGTCCTCCTGCCAAAATTAGTGGAAACCCATTTTTTCCACCAACCCGTTTTTTCGATACACTTTCTTTAATTTTTAATGCTATACTCCAATCAAATGCTTTACCTGCTCCTCCCTGATGCTTATGCTTCTTACTTTCCTCTGCTTCTCCTTTATTTTTTTCTACCTTATTTTCTTCTATGCCGTTAGAAACCAATGGAACTTTCGTATCTAATAAACATAAAGCATTATAACCAGGTTGAGTTACAAGTGTAGGATTTTTGAATTCATCGTCGATATGAAACGCTTTAATAACTGGCACTGGTATAAATTTTGCCAGATCTAACGATTCATCACCATGTAATTGAACTAAGTCCAATTTTAAATAATCTACAACAGTTGTAATATATTCTAATGATTGATTTTGAAATACTCCTACTAATAATGGTTTACGTGTATTATGAATTACTCTCGATGCCTGCAATTTAAACCAATTATTTTTTCCTGATAATTTGATAATATCCTCTTGAGATTGTTCAATTATCTCAACTTTCTCTTGTCCCTTTTCTGATTGAAGCTCGCGAATTACCGCTACTATTTCTAAAGCTTGATCAATTTGAACTTGTCTTTTAGAATTCGCAAATATGAGACCAATAAAATCTGCCCCTGCGTCAGCTGCACACATTGCCGCTTCAAGTGTTGACACACCACATATCTTAACCAATGGACTTGGAGGCGCCTTAACTTTAACAGTTGGTTTTGGTGATTCTTCTAATGCTAAAAGTTCATGAATAAATGCTCTCTTATTAATTGCCTTCATCAATGCTTCTCCGATCAATAATGCTTTAACACCCTGTTCAACATACGCCACCACATCTTCCCGCTTAGTTATTCCACTTAATGCGGCCAAAATAACACCTTCAGGTACCATGTCCGCTAACATGGTGGTCGTATTCATATCCACATCAAAAGTGTGAAGATTTCGGTTGTTGACTCCAATTACTTTTGCCCCTAATTTCACAGCTCTTTCCATTTCTTCTTTATTATTAACTTCTACTAAAGGTTCCATACCAAGATGTTTAGAAAATTTATATAATTTTGTAAGTTGTTCGTCTGACAATAAAGCTACTATCAACAACACGGTATCAGCACCAAAAAGTCGTGCTTCCATAATCTGATAAGTATCCACGATGAAATCTTTACGTAAAATGGCTGGACGATTTGGAATAGTCGCCAATATATCACGAACCTGTCGCATATCATTCAAAGTACCCTTAAACCATTTAGTTTCTGTTAATACTGAAATCACAGAAGCACCAGCTCTTGCATATGTTAAGGCTTGTTCTGCAGCATTAACTGATAGATCAATATTTCCTTTACTGGGTGATGCACGCTTAACCTCAGCAAATATGGCAGGATATTTAGGCAATGTTTGTTTAATTCTAGAGACAAAATCAATTAATGGAGGTGCGACATGGAGAGATAATAATTTCATGTAATCATGAGGTGAAGAACCCGGTTGTTTTTTAGCTATTTTGATATCTTCTAGTCGTTGATTACGTATTTTCTCCAAAATTGATGGAATAGATTTTGTTTGTACAAAAGTTTTAGATAATGGTGCTTTTACACCAAATTCAGGATTGTCATCCCACTTTCCATTTTGAAGCTTCAAGAAATTGCCAAGTATTGTTTTGCCATGGTCACTAAGAATACTTTCAGGATGAAATTGAACACCTTCAATTGTGAATTCACGATGTCTTACACCCATTATAACATTTGTTTCACTCCAACTTGTAATTTCCAATTCTTCAGGGACGGTTGAAGGTTTAGCAGCTAAAGAATGATAACGAGTCGCAGTAATTTCATTCGGTACGCCTATATAAATTCCTTTACCATCATGCTTTATAGTTGAGGTTTTCCCATGAACAATTTCACCAGCGTAATCGACCTTACCACCGAATACTTCAAAAATACATTGTTCACCAAGACAAACACCTAATATTGGAATATTTCCGGCAAAGGCTAAAATAGCATCCCGAGAAATTCCTACATTGGATGACGGAGCACCCGGACCAGGAGAGATTATTATATTTTTTGGATTAAGCGCTTTGATCTGTTCGACGGTAATCTGATCATTTCTGAAAACTTGAACTTCGGCACCAAGTTCTGAAATGTATTGATAGATGTTCCATGTAAATGAATCATAATTATCGATTAGAACTGTGAGTGTAGGTTTTGTTGGTTCTGAGTTTGTTGTCATGTTTAAAAGTTTACATCAAAAAATTAATTTCCTGACGAATTAAACCTTTTTTATGTATATGAATTAAGTAGTTTATTTATCAAAAAAATTTTTTTGAGAAAATGATTGGAACTTTAAATTTACGAATGTTGTACAAATTCACTGTCACTCGAATAAATGACACTCCTGGACCCCCCAAAAAGTAGGGGACATATTTTCTGTGTTCAATTTGTTAGCAGATTTTTGACCAGATCCAAGTATATAGTTAATAATTCGTTTTGTTCAAGACCAGACTTTGTACTCAGCAAAATTTGAACATTAGCGGTAGTGATGCACAATCTATGTTATAGAGATTATCGCAGATAGTTATTTGTAAATTTTTCATAAAATGTATTGATAAATGTTCAAAATTTGTAATATTCAGAACGTTTGTAAATAACCTTGTTTATAAAATCTTTTTATTAGTAATTACGTGATTCATTTTACCCAAGATTGATAAAAATGATTTTATAATATGAATACTTTGTTAATGATTTTATTACTATTAGAACCGGAAAGAAGCTCCAGAATTGCTGCTGAAGATGAAGCTGAAAATTTGATTTTAATGTAAAATTTAAAATTTTTAAAATGTTGAATATTTTTTGCTTTCTTAATGCTATTAGGGTTATGATTTTCAGCTTCAACAACAAGGATTTTAATAGCCGACATAAGTTTCATATTGTCAAATACTCGGTAGTAACTTGATCTTTATCCTTCCATTTTAGGCCTATGCAATTAACCAAGCGGTTGAGTTTTAATTAATCGAAACCGTTAAAAATTCATTATAAATTTTCACACATTAAAAATAACTATTAAATCATAGAATTTCGATTACAATTTAGCATTGCATACAGTACCCGGGGTCTTATTCAAAAACTTAATTCATGAATACAATGATTTCATTGGTGGAGAAGAGGGTATTTTATGCGGTAAGACATTATTTTCGGGGCAAGTAATTTTGTGTGATCTATGACTTATCCCTTACTTAATATTAAGTAATATTAAATAATTATTACATTCTATTACTTATTATAAAACATATGATAACAGTCGGAACTGAGTGATCAAAACTGAGATTGAACGAAAAATTGCTGCTAGAAATAGAAAATTATTATTTTAAATTCTGTATATTTAGATATTCGAGCTCATTTAAAGTGCTATAAAACGCACATACAGTGCTTTTAAACTCGTTTTATGCGTTTTATATTTTCTAAGCTTTTACAAGTTTTATATATAGAAATTTTTGGATATTTAAATTTAAGGTTTGGGAAGGGTTTTGGGGCGTAGGACATTTTTGCATAGAGCACCACACATCACTGCAGGAATGCAATACTTATATGTCCAATTGTTTTGGATATATATGTCCCAAATGTCCAATTCACGCAATTTCTATAATATCCGATTTGTCCTTATCAAGTACAGTATCCCATTACATTAATTTAGTTATACGTAGCAGAAGCAATACTGATCTTCCAGCTCCACAGTGATTAGGTACGTACGTACGTACATATTTATATAATATATATGTATACAGAGAACCCTCGTTAATACGTATCAACCTTCTATTCATGTTTATAATGATATTAGTGAGAGATCATATTAAAAGTTGATATATATGAGGGAATTTTAATATAATTTTAATATACAGAATTCATTTTATATATTAACGGGGGTCCTCTTATAAAAATATTCCTTGGAAACACAGGCTTTCCTTATTTGTGCCGGTAATACAAACTCTTAAAAAGGAAATAACCAATCAGTGAGTTCGAAGTTTGATCGTTCCGGATCAGCCCACATGAATTCCGAACACGTGCGAAAGAAGAAAAAAGCGAAAATACTCAAAAACTAGTGTTTAAACCGACCTTGATACACTAATTGAAAATGTTGGGAACGAAATTTTACATATAACAAGCAATAGTCTATGGCTATGACTTCTAACGCTAATGCCCTAACCCTAAATTTGTGTTTTTACGCACTTTGTAAATTAAATTTCCTTTTTTGGGTTGTATTACCGGCACAAATAAGTAAATCCGGAAACACAGGCTCTTGCAGCAAATTAGGCCCCTGAAGTTAGATCTTCTTGCATGCATATTAAGGAGTAAATTCATGAAAATTTTGCAGCTCAAAGCGAGTGTTTAACCTTAGGCACGACATATACATAGACGATCATTGAAATAAATCTATGAAATAAAGTTCATTCTTAATACAGAAACCTAAATCAAGAATGAGAATTCTATTTTGATATACTTTCTACGTACATGATATTTCGAGCACAAGCCTGATTTTTATTCTCGTTGAGAAATGTCACTTATATGCATATTTCCAACCTTCTACGGTTAGTGGGGCTAATCGATCCCGCGATAATTTTTTTTTTTTTTAGAGATCTTAACAAATATGTCCTTTTAGCTAGTCTTCAAATATAATTGCAAAAAAAAAAAAAAAAAACGCAATAACTTTCTACAATTTTACCAAAAAAACTGATATTTTCACGCCTATGTCAGATCCTGCCATATTCCATACTAATGCCTGCACGGGCCTAAAAATTTGTACTTTTGCCGGCCCGCACGGCCCGCAAAATAAAATTTATTATGTTTTTTAAAGTTCGGCCCGCAATTTTGTAAGATTTTAAAATTTTCTAATTTCGGCCCGGCCCTTATTCCATACTATATATAATATAATGAATATTTTACCTGTCACGTAATTTTTTAATCTTAGATACGATTGTATCTAAGTTGTGGCAAATTTTTATAAATGCGAAAGATAATCTTTTCGCATTTACACATGAATTTTAAAATTTTATTGGCTAAAGCGCAGGGGTATTGCGGGATCTAAAACGGGTGTGAAATATTAAATTTCCTTTTACCAAGAATAGTTTAAAGCTGTTTTCAAAAAGACGTAGAAAGGTGCAGACCACTATGTCATGGGAATTCACAAGATTTCTAAATCCTGATTGTGACGGCGGAAGATTCTTGCTAAAAGCCTGCATTGGGTCCGTAGGCCCGCCCGGCCCGTTTTGCGGGCCGGGTCGGGCTTACAGCTATTATCATAATTCCTGGGACATCTGATAAAATTTGCCGAATGATTTTTCGGCCGATTCGGTTAAGTTATTGATTTCGGCATGATCGGTATAAAAAATCTATTTTTTTATATTACATGTAAAAAAATATATATATATCGATATATATATCGATATAGTAAAAAGACTTATGTGTCTATCTAAGTCGAATGTATACCTTTTAAATTGTTATACGATTAATTTTATATCCCAACTAAAGTTTCATTTCGGATTGCAATTCATACAAATAACAGTCAAGTTTTGCTTTTATTAAAGTTTTAAGATATATTATATCTTTCGTGTTTAATAAATGTGGTTTCTTGAAAGTGATGGAAGTTTTTCAATATCTTTGAAAGTACTTGAGAACTCGACCTGTAAAAGACTTAACACCTAAGTGTTTGGCAATTTTTCGAACTGATAAGTCTTTTAAATTTTTTTTTAACTATTTGCCAGCGAAGATGCCTTGAAAGTATCATAATTCTGTATTCAACTAGATAAGCATATCGATATATAGTCTTATAATACTGTAATATTTATATTAGTCATCTACTTTAAATTACGTACGTCATATCTGATTTCAGATATATTGCTGAATCTATTATTCCCGAAATCACAAACTTATTAACCGAATCGGCCGAAAATTCATTCGGCAAATTTTCACAGGTGTCCCAGGAATTATGATAATAGCTGTAACAATTACAACTGTTTTCATAAATTCTGCCAATTCGATAAGCTTTGATTCGGCAGTGATTCGGATGTAATCACATCCGAATCAACCCTAACCCTAACCCTAACCCTAAAAGTTTATCCAAACTTATCGAATCGGCAAATATTCGGTCGGTCAATTTTTTGCCAGATTTTGCAGAATTTGTGAAAACAGCTGAATTACGTAGTGATTGACCCGTCTAAAAACCTCCACCTGTGTCACTCGACGGGTGGGCCATATGTCACCCGGGTGAAAACCAGGTCAACTAGAAAGTCTCCCACACTGGATCACCCGATGGGCAGACCATATATCATCTATGTGAAATGGATGGGTCAACTCAAATATTTCTATTTCGAAATTTCACGACAACATTTCTCGTCTTTTATGTTCGCTGATTGTATACCATTCCGAAACTTCCTGATAGTAGACATACACAAATCCATGGTCACCCGTAGGCCAGTCAACGGGTGACCTGCGGGTGATCCACCCGGGTGACAATATCTCACCCACCCACCCACGGGTGACCCAGGTGACACCACCCGGATCAAATCACGAGTCTAAAATTTTAAAATTGCGAGCTGGGTTGGGTTGGGCCAGACTTAATAATTTTAATTTTATAATTACAAAACCAAAATAGGTAATACCGTAAATCCATGAAATAACGCACCTCTGCGCGTTATTTTGAACACCTGCACGTTATTTCGGGTACGCCTATGTGTGTTATTTCGAAATAAGGTTAATATTCTGAGCCATGTAATATAGTTGCTTATGTGTAGGGTTAATAGTCTATTTTGGTATATAAGATGTGCATGGTGTTATTTGAAAACTAGATATACTATGATAGTTATTTCACAAATTTATGGTAAATAAAACAAATTAAAATAATAGATGTTTTATAGAATAGGTGGGCAAACTCTACAAAATCCTTAAACTTTACAACTCTGTTATTAAAAAATTAATAATTACTACTTATTTTTTATATTACAAACACCTTTTCTATAAAATATCCAAAATAATAGTAAATAAAAAATTAATACTTAAATATAAAATTAATAAACTATATAAATCAAGTTGTTTTTTAATTTAAAAATAAAATAAAATAATAAAATTATATTTTATAGATTAATAATTAAACTAAAAAAATAAAATTTTTTAATTTAACCAAATTTTAAACCAAATAATTTTAATTCTAATAATAATAATAATATATATATCATACCT